TCCACTATCTTCATATCACGAATTAGATAATCCGTTGTTAATTACAAGTCGGGAAGAGTCAACCATGCTTATCATTAAACTAGGAAACAACCAAAATATATATTTTAAATATTAAAGTGTCTTTAGATACATGTTTAGAGAGTTATTCCTTTCTATTTTTGTTGTCATTCGAATATAACTATTCGATTATATTAGATACATTTTTTCTTACCTGAATAGGTAAACAATGACCTTTTTGAAAATTTTACATTTATCCTTGTTAATTGATGTGGTGTGGAAACATCCCTTTGAAACACAAAAAAATGTATGCACACCCTACCCCTATCAAGGTAGAGAAGTTGTTTTCCATACATCCTCGGCTCAAGGCAAAATAATACAAAGCATTAAAGAGAAAGAAATAACGAAAATGAAAAAGTCATGACAAAATACTATAGACAACCTGACAAATCATATTGAACAGTAGTCATAACAAGATAAAACAATAATCGAAGTAAAAGACCAACATATAATAACCAAACTCAAAGGACAAAAAACTACAAGTGTAATACTACGACTACATCTAACTTACATGATGTAAACAAATTGCATCACCAATCTAATAAAAAGCAAAATCTCTCCCACTTTCTAAGGGACAATAGATTTCCACTTTCGAGTTGTACATGATGCCACCCCTGGTTTTCGTGATCAAATTTGTAAGCTTTTACTTCTTTTAGTTGACTATGTAAAACATAGTTTCCATTCGAAGTAGAATGACTCGAACTCTTCATATACATTAAGCAATCCATGAAACGTGCAATCGTTGTAATAGATAGAGAAAGCTTTCTCAAAGAAGAACAATTTCCCACCACACCACTAGATAACGAATCATACATTAGATCACAATTACTCAGAACCAATTCTCTTAACGATTTTGCTGCCATGATTTTAAAAATAGACCAGCGGTATGATCTACTAACATGAACTCTAAAGATGAGATTTTCTACACCATTCTGAAATGCGATATCAAGCCATTTATCAATAAGATGGAAAAAATCACTAGTATAATGAACAAAATATGATAATTCAAACTTTTGTATAGGAATTTTTCCGTCCCTATATCTCTCCATGATATTGTCAACAATTTTCATATTGCGATTGAGATAATACGTTGTGAATTTCAAGTTGGGAAGAGTCAACCATGCTTGCAACCATGTTTTGGAGATAATGGTCATCTTGGTTGCTTCTTTAAAATTAAGACAACAGAGTATTTTTTGAATGAGACATTCCGGCAATATGTCAGCCATAGAAATTTCTACAATACAATTTTTTATATGAAGAAATCCCTAATTAATTTATTTATAGGTTGCAAATCAAGATAAAAGAAAGAAGATTAGGGTTTGGGCATACTAACATCGAGAGCTTCAAAGAAATTAGAGAGGTTACAAATTCAAATGTCTAAGGACTCCTAAAATATATTAGTAAGAAATATTATTATTATATATATTAAAAGTGTAAGGTTGTTGATAATGTTGTTCGAACTTTTTACTCTGCATTAAAATACTTCACTTCAGACAAAATCGTTTTTTCACCATTTTTCTTCAATTATAATTCCATTATTTTAATTATATAAATGTTAACTATAATAAGCATAATAAAAAATAAATGGAAAAGACTATCTATGGTTAAATGAATCTTTTTTCAACTGACTTGATCCAAAAAAAAAAATCAAAATAATAAGCAAAAAAAGGGTTTTAAAAAACGTCCAAAAACATAGGGCCAAAAAATAGCCCAAACAAGGGCAAAAAACCGTCCAAAGAGTCCAAAAAAAATAAATAGGAAAAGGTTTTCTACTCATTATTATTTAATTATTATCAAACTATTAAGACTTTAAAATCAATTAAATTTGTTATTTTAAAATAACTCCTTATTAAATTAGAAATAACGTGCCCTTTGATTTTCTTGGAAATATGTCAATTTATTAATATATTTTGATATTTAAGACATTATAACTAACTAAATGTGTTATTAAGTCAAAATTATCGTGGGTTGGTAATCATAAAATAAATTCACATGAACTACAAGAAAATAGTGTCCATTTAAAGTACGTACAAATTGATGAATTTTATAATTCTGTAATAAAATAAACTGCATCACCAATCTAATAAAAATAAAAATGTCTCCCATCCTCGAAAGGCGAATATCGAGAGGTTTTCTCGTTCGAATTCGATAGGATCCAAACCCTGATTTTTCCCATCATATTTGTATACTTTTGCTACTTTTAATTTCATACACATCAAACGGTCCGATAAAACATGAAAACATTTCACATATGATATATCTAAAGATTTTAGATTCTGAAATTCAATAACATTCAATTCTTCTTTTCGTAAATCATAATAAGAAAAGTGTTCAAGAGTTGGTATTTGGATTTTAACAAGGTGTTTTGGTTTGCCCTTTGTCTTAATGGAAACCAACTTAATATTTTGATGAATCAACAACTCAATCTTTTTTAACCCCGAACAACGCTCTAGTATGAAAGTGACAATCAAGGGACAACTATTAAGTAGAGTCTGAAGAATGTTTTCGTCTAAATTGATCCTAGTTAGAGAAAGTTTTCTCAAAGAATTTCATTTCGTAAACGAAAAAACTTCCAGACTACAATCAATGAGAACCAATTCTCTTAGTGATTTTGCTGCCAAGATTTTGAAAAAGTTTTAATCCAGAACATCCGATGACGAGATCTTTTACGTCATTCTCAAGTGCAATGTCAAACCACTTATAAATCAGATGGAGAATTTGACTAGAATAAGTGAAGAGTCCATTGTTGGTAAGAAATCGTAAGGAAATACACTTTTGTTGCATCAATTAAAGATTAATTGACAGTTGTATTTTGTTACTGGTATCATTTACTCACGTTGGCTAATCCCTAATTAATAGGGATATACAACTTTAAAATATTTAACGTACTATAATGTATGCAATAGTATATTATACATTATATTATAATGTTTTCTAACAACATTATATCTAATCTATATTACTTTAAAAGCATGACTGCAAAAACAATACATATTCAAATCGGACTAAAAGAAATAAAACTCTACATTTATTTGATGAAAAACGATATCTTGAAGCTTTCTACAACTTTTCTATGAACTTACCCGAGAAAAAACAAATTTTCAAGAGTTGGTGCTTCAATTTTAACACGCTGGTTCTTACACATCCTCATTAAAACTGACTTGATTTTTTGAAGATTCAGCAGCCCAATCTTTTCCAACCTGTTACAATACTCAAGGATGAAAGAATCGATCAACGGACAACTATTAAGTAGAGTCTAAAGCATTTTTCGTTTAAAGTTACATTGCATAGAGAAAGCAATGACATTTTGCCACGCCACTAGATAACGAGACATGCAATAGATAGTCCTAGAAAATAAAGTCTTTCAAATTATTAAAATTAAAAGAGTCTAAAATATACGATAAATGAAAATTAGAAGAATGAATAAATAAGTAGTCATAAAATATAAAATAAAATGAATTTTTTCGAGAAAGTATTTTTGAAGAGTTGCAATTTATATTCGACTAATCAATTTGAAATTTACTTTTATCAATATATGCAGTAATTATGAAGTGAATCAAAGACTCTTAATAGACTGATTTAAGGCTCAACAAGAGCAAGAACATTGTTGAACTCCAAGCTAGTTAGGCTCAGCGATATGAATCCTCAATTTCATAAACGAGTTGTTTGGAGATGTAACGTGTACCTCGATGAGTATATCCAGATGAAATTTGTATCAATTAGGAACTGAAAATCGAAGATTTCTACAGACTGATTCAATGCTACATAAACTACATAAACATACTCACAATGTGGATTTTCCACAACTTGTACAATTCTTAATCATCTTGATACTAGTTTTAACCAAAACCATATGCCATATACGAGCTAATAACACACATTTCTTCCTAAAAAAGGGAAAAATTTCAACTTTCTTCTTGACGGATTCCATAGAAATAGATCTTTAAGATCACGAGGGATACAAAACAACCACTTCACACTCCGAACATCCACAACTTTATAGTCAGCAAATGAGTCTTTACAAGGAAAATCAAGCTCAACGGGGTATATGGCGAGATTCTTAATACATAATTGCATAAAGAGAGAATTCGATTCATAGTAAATTCTTAACATGATCAAACCTTTCGAGTTATTTTCCCCACCATAACAAGTTTTGTGATACAAAAGTAACAAAAAAGAAATTACCTTGAGAAGATCTTCGATTAAAGCAAGTACCATTGAGGCATTGACATCGTTGAGATTGAAAATTTTAGAACAAGAAATACTAGTTTTCCGCATCCTACCAAAACTTTATGTTGACTACGTCATGCTTCAAGAGTTCAAGTTTGTTCACCTCTTCTTGCAAGTTCTTCATTATGCACGAGACCTCGAAGAACATAGCACAATTTCCATCCTTTTTCACTCATTGATCCATAGGTTCCTCCAAAAAGTATGGAGAAACAAGACTTTCATTGTATAAACCAAGATTGTTTGCAGCATCACAACGTGTCATGCTTCAAATTTGTTCACCACTTCTTGCAAGTTCTTCATTATGCACGAGACCTCGAAGACCATAGCACAATCTCCATCCTTTTTCACTCATTGATCGATAGGTTCCTCCAAAAAGTATGGAGAAACAAGACTTCCATTGTATAAACCAAGATTGTTTGCAGAATCACAACGTGTCATGCTTCAAGTTTGTTCACCTCCTCTTGCAAGTTCTTCATTGTGCACAAGACCTCGAAGACCATAGCACAATCTCCATCCTTTGTCACTCATTGATCGATAGGTTCCTCCAAAAAATATGGAGAAACCAGACTTTCATTGTATAAACCAAGATTGTTTGCAACATCACAACGTATCCTAACCTCAGGACGCGTGAAAGTGTTATCTCTTGAATTAAACCACACTAAACTTCTAGATTCATGCACTAAAATTTCATCATCTCGGGAGATGAAAATTGGCTAAGCCTCGTAATCTTTTGTAGGGATCGAAGCTATCTTGGTCCACGACTCTGCAACATCATACTCCTTCATTACCCACACATCCGTCTTGTTCTCAAAGTAACAAAACAGACACAAATTACCCCCTGAACACCCTACTTCACGATAGAAAAACTCACCTTCTGGACCAGGCAACGCTACATTTCCAAATGTCTCATTTACCAGATCAAACGAAGAAATAAAAAATGTCGATTTACTATCACTAACACGATCCTCCGCACTCCAATGAAGTTTCCTATTCACAAACTTACCAGAATGATCCCAAAACACAATGCTCGGATACTCTTCGATTCTTTTCCAAGAATCACTTCTTAGACTATAAACACTAACATAGTAACGATTAATACAACTATGTTCTTTTCGCACAATTTCTACGACTCTGTAATCAATTCGACACTGATCAGTATCAGTACAACAACCAAATCCATAAGAAAAATCAACATCATGTTCACAACTCACATTAATTCCAGAAGAGGGCAATTTCTTCAACTTTCTAGTAGTGGGGTTCCATAGAAACAGATCTAAAATATCACGAGAAATACAAATCAATCCATCACAGGAACCTAAAATTCGATATCTATCACCAAATGAATCTTCATAAGAGAAATCAAGATCAGTAGGGATACGTTGAGGTTTTTCACAAATGGGTATTGGAAATTGTTGTGATATGAAAAGCTAAGTGGTGTGTTAACACGGTTTTAGTTAGTTAAGGGTAAACTAGTCATTTCCATTAGTTAGTTATAACAACCTACAGAATGTTAGTTAAAAGAAGATTAGTTACTAACAGATAATGTGATGTATAAATAGCCCTTCTATCATTGTAATCCATAGGTTTTTGATTAATAACAGAGTCTTCTTCTTCCTTAGATATTTTCTCTCTAAGTTCTAGATTCTTCTTTTACGTTCATGGTATCAGAGCTCTCTTCCCAGTAGCTACTGGTGAAGACGAGTTAGATCTAGAATCAAAGGATCATTATAGATCCATCGATTCATTGTTGCTGATTTCCTTCAGTGGCAGATTTCAGTTTGAAATTTGCATTTTTTTTGCTTCCGCGAAAAGAGATTCATCAAAGCAGTTCCAGTCAGGTGTTGAATCAGAGTTTGATCAATGGCTCCTGATCATGTAGCAGTGGATCTGGCTCAGAATCTCAATATTGGTCAAAATATTGGTACATCTGCTCATAACAATGACAATTCTTCTTCAAATCAAGGTATCGACTATAATCATCCTCTGTTTTTGAGTCCTACTGATATCAGTGGGATCAACTTGATTTCTTTTCAATTGCTTGGCATTGAAAATTATATGTTGTGGAGTAGATCGATTCAGCTTGCCTTGTTAGGAAGAAACAAGTTAGGGCTGATTGATGGGAGTTGCAGAAGAGAAGTATATGGTGAGGAACTATGGGGACATTGGGAAAGAGTTAATGCTATAGTGTTATCCTGGTTAATGAATTCTATTTCTAAAAGCTTGTTGAGTGGTATTGTTTTTGCTTCAAGTGCTTTAAATGAGTGGAATGACTTGAAGGAAAGATTCGATAAAGTGGATGGATCTATGACATACAGTTTGCACAAAGATATAGTTTCATTACAAAGGGTACTGCTTTTGTATCTGTGTATTTCACAAGACCTAAGACCTTATGGGATGAGTTTGAGGTGTTGGTACCATCTCCTTGTTGTAATTGTGAAAAATCGAAAGGTTTTGTGGAACATATGAATAGGCAGAAATTATATCAATTCTTAATGGGATTGAATGAATCATATCATCAGGCTAGGAGCCAAATTCTTATGATGAATCCTTTACCATCCATTAATCATGTATATGCTATGATTGTGGGATATGAGAGTCAAAAAACAGTAGTTCATAGATCCAGTAGTAGTTTGGGACTGAGTGCTATGAATATGGAATCTGTTGTCTTTTATTCCAAAGTTGGTAGTAGCTCAGGGGTGAGTCAAAGGTTTAAAAAGAACTCTCTGCTAGTTTGTGATTTCTGCAAATGTAAAGGACACAATAAAGAGTTTTGTTACAAAATTGTAGGATATCCACCTAACTTCAAGTCTAAAAGGAAGGATCAAGGAAGTGAATCTGGACAGTACAGGAAATCTTCAGCAGCTCAGGCTCATTTCTCTTATGGTTCCAACACAAATGTATAGGTTCCTGAGTGGGGAAAGAAAGTTGAAAGTTCTCCTTATCATAGCTTTGGTGGTGAATCTATAGCTGAGAATACTAAAGCTAATATGCAGTTAAGTCAAGCTGAGAAAAATGTCAAGCAACTACTTCAGTGGTGCATGTTCACAAAGGATCAATATGATCACATTCTCAGAATGTTTACGCAGCAAAAACAAGATCAATCTATATACCTGATTGCAGTGCAGTGAATACTGCAGGTAAAGCATTCTTTGTCTCTGCAAATAATAAGGTGTGGATAATAGATACGGGTGCTACAAATCATATGGTGTCTAACTTGGAAATGTTATCCAAGAATTCTGTGACAAAACTTGATACTCCTAAAATTGTTTATCTTCCAAATGGTGATACTACTACAGTGACTCATGTGGGTACTTGTGATGTGTCAGCTAACAGTGTCATTACAAATGTGTTTCACCTGCCAAACTTTCAACATAATTTGTTGTCTGTAAGTAAAATCACAAAGGAATTAGGTTGCTCAGTTACCTTCTTTCCTCATTTTTGTGTTTTCCCGGAACTTTACACTGGAAAGGTGAAGGAGGTTGGTAAAGAGGAAGGAGGATTGTATTTGCTGTTAAGCCAGTTGACACATGGAACTGAAAGTGAAGTGAAGACGTCTGTGTGGGTTGTTCCTAGAGTGCTCTCCAGTATAGAATTGTGGCATCAAAGATTAGGACATGTGTCTTTTGTAGTACTTGCTAGAATGTTTGATATGAATAAAGACAATATGTGTAAGGTTTCTAAATGCACAGTTTGTCTTTGTGCTAAGCAGACAAGATTACCTTTTCCTTCAAGTAGTATTAAAAGTAATGCTTGTTTTGACTTGATACACGTTGATGTATGGGGTCCAATGAGAAAGTGTAGTAACTCAAGCTATTTTCATCGTCGAAATTTCGAAAAGAAGCTTATGGTAAGTAAATTGTTGATTATTGATTGAAAATTTTAGATGGGTTTTGATGAATTGGGGATTAGAGATTAGAGAACGCATAGATTTTGAAACACACCTCATTTTCAGCAAGGTTTTCACAGGTAGCCTTGTGAGTATTTCGGATATTAACTCAGGAGGAAGAACTGGAACTGAATCGACCGCCATTGATGTTATTGCTTTGTGCTTTGATAACTCCATTAGCGGGCGACTAAGCTTAAACCTCTTTCAAGAATTTGATAGAGTGTAACATAATATACCTAATTTTGAGTCTATATATTCGAGATATAAATATCTGAACGTATTTATAGGCAAGATACATATATAAATTTAAGTAATTAACTGTAGAATTTTCGTAGAAATACCCTATAAATGTTGATGAAAAAAGAAATAAACTATTTATTTTGTACAAATTAGCTTTATCCGTTCCTATTTAGTTGTCATTTAATTTCCTCAAAAGTTTTTGAATATAGAAAATTACGTGAATATAAGCACATATATACTAGTTAATTAGTTAGCATATCTATAGTTTAGCTAATTTACAATTCGCTACTAACATTTAGCGTTAATTACATGGGTTGCACTTCAAGTTTGTATAATTCGTCATTAATATTTTTTTCGTTTGATTTGTATTTGTATGTGACGGGTTGTATTTGTTTATGATGGTGATTTCCTTTGATTTTTTAGTTTTATCACCAGATACAAACAATCTTTTTTGTATGTAACTTTTTTTGAATAAACGTGTAGTTTTCGAAATTTGTATAACTTTTGTATAATGTAATTTGTATAATATAATGGGAAAATGCATAAGTACCCCCCCCCCCCCCCGCCCAGCCTATGCCCAAAATCCCTGAGTCACACTTAACCTTTACTAAGGTCCTATTGCCCCCCTCCCCCCCCCCCGGATCTTATTTTATATATAATTTTCTATCCCTTTTCGGCCTACGTGGCACTATCTTGTGGGCCTAGCGTGTGTTGACAATTTTTTCAAGGATAGTGCCACGTAGGCCAAAATGGAGTAGAAAATTATATATAAAATAAGTTCGGGGGGGGGGTAATAGGACCTTAGTAAATGTTAGGTGTGTCTCAGGGTTTTGGGTATAGGCTGGGGGGGGGGGGGGACTTATGCATTTTCCCTAGTATAATTTGTATAATTGTTTAAAGTTCAGATGTTTGTATTTGTATAAATTCGTTATTCAGAGTTTTACGGACGAAAATAACTCAATTATGCAAATGCGCGCGAATTATACAAATGTACCCGTGAATTATACAAATAAGTAAACTATAACTATGATCCGTAAATAGATAAACTATAGCTAAAGAGCCTAATTAAGTTTATGATAATGACTATTTGCGAAATTTTTCACATTTTGAGTATAATTGGGTAATAAGTCCAGTCTTCACCTAGCTTAGCCCATTAGACTCATTCAGCTATTCAAAAGTAGGCCCATTACAAATGCTACATCTTCTTTAATCTAGAATTTGTTTGAACTTCAAGAAATCTACATTAGGGGGGAATTTCATCCGGCAGAGATAAGATTTGTGTATATTTTATTATTTTTAGATTATATTTATGAGATTTTACTGGGTATATTATTGTTATTTTAGAGAAAAATTGGTGGTGAAAGAAGAGAGAAGAAGTTTAATCTTAAACACTACTAACTACATTTTATTTATCTGATTTTAACTTGATACAGTGTTTAAAGAATATTATTGAATCTTCTGGTCTTAAATTAAATATACGTAAAATCTACCAAAATTTCTATAATCTTATGATCTTAAACATATTAGATGAAAAAATAGAATTAAAGAGTTGCCAAAAAGGGGGAAATATTTTATTTTTTAAAAAATAAAAAATAAAGTAAAACAAACAAATTAAAACAAGAAAATATTATGTAATATGATCAAATTAATCAAAAATCTCATCGTTTAATATTGTTAAGAAAGTCAACCAATCATGCCAAACTAGAAATTATTTTAATTGAATTGCTCTCAAGTCTTAACAGTAATGCTAATAAGATGAATCCACTAAATTGCACCTAATAAATTTAATGATTCATTCACGCAAAAAGCATATCATATAATAAGATTAATATATAGTGGGTAGAGTACTATTTTGTATCCACTCAAATTTCTAGTTCTAAATTATAGAGAGTGAAAAAAGTATAATCTAGCCTATGTTATTTTATTTAATGTTATAGAATTGATAATCATATTCTAGAAACGCACATTCCGCAAAATAATTTTCGATGTTGACAATAGTAAAAGACAATAATGTACCGTGTGATAGGGATAAAAAAATGACAAGTTGAATATTTTTTATAGTCGAGAAAGTTTATTATATATATAAATTAAACATTTATAACGGTATACAATATGTTCATATTACTTGTGTCGTAATCAATAATAAGATTAAAAAAAGCATATCTTTCCATCTGAGCGATAAATATCTTCTTCTAATAATAATTATGAACATGTAGAATGCGTGTCACGTAAGTACAAAATTACTTTCTAGACTTATAGTCTGCCTAATCAAGCTTTTGAGAAATGAAACTTCTAATTTTATTTATAAAAAAATATATTTATATTAGAAAGTTAAATATTTTGCTAAGATTATAAAATTAAAAAAAATTATGTAAAAAGTTTAAATTTTTTGTGTAGTAGTAGAAGATGTCTTCATAAGTTGAGATGATTTTTTTATGGGTGTTTTATTGAACTCTTATCAAACACAAATTATGAATTTAATATTGGTAAAAATATTTTTTAATTTAAGTAATCAAATAAATATTGCTCTCTTCGAAAATACTTTTGAGTTCTCACACAAAAATATACTTATTAAATTATGTAATAAATGTTCATTCATTGGGATAGTTGAGTCACCTC